CCAAACTGAGATAGGATAGGGACAGTGAAGGCACATTTGGGCTGATGATAAGAATGTCTGTATGTGTTCTTAGCTGCCTTCTAGAGCCAAACTGCACAGATAACTTTGGCTATATCACCTAACTACTTTTCTCTCTTTGTACACCTATAGCAGGTCACTGATTTTATCTTGTTGATTGAAGGTGTTGTAATACTTTAGGATTTGAATTGCTTGCGTAAAGCAGATAGATATAACATTTTATTTCACAGTGTATAGATGTGATTGCATTTAAAGACAAAGCTCTTTCAAGCATTATGATGACCCCTCTCTTTCTGTGTGTGGTAAATATGTATTAATCTGTTTTTAGGGAGGAATGATCAATTGGAATCGTCTTTTCCCTCCTTTACGTCAGCGACGAAATGTAAACTATCAGGATGGTCGACAATCTGAACAACAAGCATCCCCTCCTCTAGAAGTTTCTGAGGAACAGGTAATCAGCAACACTTGGTCCTTAACCTAAACCCTGCTTCTTTAAACTTCAAGCAGTTTTGATGAACAAGACTAGGTAGAAGTCAAACTTATAAATACAGGTATTTTGATGGCAGTTAAACTGCAGCCTTTAACAGTGATAGATAGCCTTTGTTGATGAGTATGGGTTTTATGAAGAGCTCTGGTGGATCTCATAAGTTTGAAGAAGGCATGATATAGGGAGAAATACATTATGATAGCTTATTTTAAAATCTGTAATATCTTATATATAACAGAAACTAATGAAATTGATTCTCTAGAAGGGCTAGGGGAAAGTGAAAGGATGAGGAAGGAGTGGTATTTCTCTGAGTATAATGTGTATGGCTTTGACTTGTGGATTGGTATTAATGTTCTACATAGTGAAAAATCAACAAGAATAGGGACAATTACAAAACTAAAAGGAACAGAAATAAATTAACTAACTGTATTCCAAGTGAATAATAATCACACTGTAGGGGGGAAATTAATATCAATAAGTTTTGAACATAATGTATCCTCTGTCTAAATAAAAATAAAAAGTACTACAGACAAATCTTACATTCTTTTCAGTTAAAAAAAAAAGAAAAAGAAAAAACTGACTGCCGTCAAGTTGGTCCCAACTCATAGTGACTCCTCCTTGGGTTTCTGAGGCAGTATCACTACGGAAGTAGATTGCCCCATCTTCCTTCCAAGGAGTGTCTAGGGGGTTTGAACCACCAGTCTTCTGGTTAGTAGTCAGTGCCTTAGGCACTACACCACCAGAGCTCCGTTCTTTTCAGTGGGTTTACTTTTTAGAGTGGATGAGTATAATTCTAAAATTATATTGTGTATATTGTAGGCTTGAGCATATGAGTAAATACATTGCTCTTACTTGGGAAGAAGGAAAATATAAATATAGAACAGGGAAACTCAAGGAAAAACCTTGTGGGGTTGGCTTGGAATGAGAAGTATCAGCATAAACTCATGATTTAAATAAATGTATGAGTGTGCCCCTTAGTTCTACTAACTGAAAGGACTCAGAAGCCACAACCTTTCAGTAGCAGTGGCAGACCTAGTGTCCAGATCTTGGTTAATAAATACCTTCACTACTCAAAGGAGCCAGGCCTCTTTAGAGAAATGGTGAATCCCAGGCTCCAGGTAATGAAGATACAAGGTGATCTTAGAAAGTCTTCTGCTAAGAAGTAAGAAAGTGCTGAATAAGAAAGAGCATGTCACAAGGGCACTGAAGCCAATTTGACCCCACAGGTCAAATTTTGACACCAGATTTGAGCATCAAAATTAAGAAGAAAAGTAACTGTGTGTCTGAATGTAGTTATTCCCCATGATGAGTTTGTAATCAGCTTTATGGTAGAATCTGCTGTGAGCAGCTGCTACGTAGTTGCCTTCGGAGTGCAGCCTGCTTCCAGTATATATGGAGAAGCTTTGAGAAAGGTCTCTAGCTTTTGGCACATTTTGGATCCTGTGTTTGGCCTAGTCTTCATCTCCAGTTCCTGGACTTGAGCCAGCGGTCTGCCATGTTGCCTGCAGATCTTGGGATTATGCCATTCTACTTGCTGACCTTGGGTTTGTCAGCCTCAGCGGTCAGCAGCTGCATGAGTTATGAAAATCTCCAGCTCTAGTGGAACTGGAACAGAAGGCAGAGCTGAAGCCCACGGTCAAGGGGTCTTCACCCAGCCCTAGAACTGGCACTTTGAACTCGGACTTCTGTCCTTCTATATTGTAAGAGAATAAATCCCTATTTGTTAAAGCCACCCACATGTGGTATTTCTGCTATAGCAGCACTAGAGAACCAAGACAGTTAATGTAATATAATCCACTGGAGGGGTAGGAAAATCCTTGAATTTATACTGCTATTGCTAGATAAATAATTATTTACATACACATGGGGGAAGTGAAATGCTTTTACTTTCAGTAGAGTTCCAAGAATAAATATAGAAAGAGTGATTATAGTATTGGAATATCATAATATTGCGACCTTCATAGTAAAATCCAAGAAAGAATCATCAGTATATGAATAGAATATTTATATAGTGTCAAAATCCCCCACAAATTACTTATTTATTACAAAAGAAAAATAGTAACAATATAGTAGAGAAAATGGACACCATCTTAACCAAGTTATCAAAATGAGCATCACCAATAATGACACAAGCAGGCATCATGTGCATCTGGATATGATACCCTACAAAGGACATATCAGTTATGTTCCACAATAAAAGTGCATAGTTTTAATTTAATCATAAATAAAAGTCAGGCAAAACCAATTTGAGGAACATTCAGTATCATGAACTGTTACAGATTAAAGGAGACTAAAGAGACATGGTAAGTAAATGTAATGCATGGCCTTGGACTATATTCTGTATGGAGGGAAAGAAATTTGGCACAAAGGACATTTTAGTGTCAGTGATGAAATTGTACTGTAGATTAGACTATTACGTAAATGTTAAATTGCTGAAATTTGGTACCTGTACTGTGGTTAGGAAAGAGAATGTCCTTGTTATTAGGAAATACACTCTGAAATATTAAAGGTAAAATATATGCAATAAACGTATGCAACATACTCTCAATGCCTCATGAAAAAATGTGTGTGTATGTGTGTATATAGACAGAGTTTATGAGAGAAAGAGAGAGAAAGCAACTGTGATAAAATAACAATTGGTAAATCTGGATGAAGGGTCATCCGGGCTTCTTGATACTGTTTTTACCATATTCTGTATATTTGAAATTATTTCAAACTAGAAAGCTTTAAAAATACCTATAAAAGTTCTTATATTTTCTTATAAAAATTATCGAACAATCTCATCATTGAATCACGTAGTTCAGAATCCTCTGGATCTGGTGATGTTGAATTTGCAAATTGCCTTATCTCTGTCTTTTCTTCTTCTTTTTTTTTTTTTAATTGTGGTTTGGGTGAATGTTTAAAGATCAAATTAGTTTTCGATTGCCTTTCATCTCAATGAAAGCTCTTTACTAATCTCAAAAAAATACTTATAAAAGTATAGAGCATTATTGTTCTGGTTTCCTAGTGCCGCTCTGACAGGAATACACCACAAATGGGATGCTCTTAACAAACAGGAGTTTATTCTTACAATTTGGAGGTTTTAAGTCCAAGTTCAAAGTGCCAGGCTCTAGGGGCTGGATGAAAGCCCCTCAGCCTTGGGCTTCAGCTCTGCCTCCAGCTCCCAGCGCACTGAAGCTAGAGGCATTTCTTCACTCAAGACAGCTGCTGGCTGCTGAGGCTGCCAAGCTCAAGGTTGGCAAATAAAATAGTACAGTCCCGATGTTACCAAACCACATGGCAGGCCATTAATTTAAGTCCATTGTAAGTCCCAAGGTCAGCAGAGCATGTCAGGCTGCTGAACGATGACACAGCCACATGCAGGGTCCCAGCGTACCATAGGCTAGACACCATTCCCAAGGCTTCTCCTTATATACAAGAAGCAGATCACATCCCAAAAGCAGCGACTCAGTTGCTTGTGGTAGATCCCACCATGGAGCTGATTGCCAGTCTCATCATGGGGAATAACTACCACCAGTTGCCCAGCCACTCAACCAGACCCAGCTAAGTTGATACACAAACATAACCATCACAATTATGAAAATAACACTGTGCACTTTGCTTCCTTGTGTGTTTTCTTCCCATCAAACAAATCAGGGTCAGCTTTTCATAGCTATTCATACCATCCAAGCCATAGCCTCCGCTATCCCCTGACTGCGGAGTAAACAATTGCCAGTCTGATCCACAGACCAGCTTCTGCAACAAAGCTCAGTCCTGACCTTTTTGGAGCTTGAGAGGAGACCCTAGACAGGGCTTCCACTGCCACCCCTGGAATAGGCCAATAATAAATGGTTTTGAGAGCAACCAATTTAATGTGCCTCATCTGTTTTACCAGCCTTCCCTCCTCTATGCAGCTAGTCAACTCAGACTAATTTCAGTAACCCTTTAAGATTGAGAAGGCGCTCTGGTGGCATAGTGCCTAAGGCATTTGACTAGTAACCAGTAGGTTGGCAATTCAAACCCACCAGCCACTCCATGGAAGGAAGACTGGGCAGCTCGTAAAGATTTACCACCTCAGAAACCCAAAGGGGGTCGCTGTGAGTCAGATTCGACTTGATGGCAGTGAATTTGGTTTTTTCCTTTTTTAAGATTGAGAGATGGATTATGGAACCATGGTTCTTTTCTTCCACCACTACTGGAGAATTTCTAGAAAAATACTATTCCCATGGATAAGAAAATAAAACCTAGTGTCACTACAGTTGTAAAATCTTTATGGTGAAAAGTTAAAAAATACGATCATACTCAAATTCAGATGAAAATAAATACCAATTCTGTTACATTATTGTTTATTTAATATAGGAATGAGTCACATGCCTAACAGGGCAGCTGTTAATGATATGAGGTGTTTAAAGGTGAGATCTCTCTTAGTTTTGGCACTGTGGGAAAAAAAAGTGTCAAAAAGTGGGAACAAGAAGAATGTGTGTTTTTGAAGTCTTTAGTGTCGTTTTAATGAATCATTTGCCCTTCATCCTGCAAGAATAACAACATGTTAAAAACCGCATTTAATTCTTCATTGCTCTGTCATGGGAAAATCTGTAGACACATCAAAGATTGTTGTAACATGTTTTCTTATCCATTTATTTTCCAAATCTTTATTTTTTTGTTTCTTGATTATCTTGAAAAATGATAGTTTGACCCTCATTGCTTTAAAAACACAAAGACCTCGCTGGAATTATTTATTATGCACACTCTTGGCATTCCTTGTAGTAGGTGCTATGTTGTTTGTTGTTGTTATGTGCCTTCGAGTCAGCCCCGACTCATAGCGACCCCTCCTTGGGTTTCCGAGGCAGTATCACTACGGAAGTAGGATTGCCCAACCTTCCTTCCG